ACTCTGATGGAAAACGGTTAGGCGAAGATACTTGTGTATTACAAAACCACTACGTTGTGTAACCAGGTATATCAAGTAAGCGTTTCGTCTCTTTTTGCCAAGGATGTTGCCCAGTGGACCCCACCCCTCCTCCACCTTTTCTCCAGGTCCACGATGTGTGTCTGGCATCGTGGCGAAATCAGCTGCTCGTCTAAATAATGCAATCAGAGAAATTGGCTTTTTTCTGACAGTTGGGCAATTTTAAAAATCATTTTATAAAAGCCTAACACCTTTTGTATTCATCTAAAAACATCTCTGTGTTGGTTTTACTGGAAAACGTTGATCAAAGGCACAAAAAATATAAATTTGTAGTTTTCAAGGATACTCAAACTTTGGAAGTCCGTAAACTTAGTGGCAATTTTCTCAGCCATTTTACCTTTGACACCATAGGACCCTACGCCTGCTATCACAGATATCTCGACTTTTATTGAAGATAGATGGGAATGTTTTTCTCAAAAGCAAGACAAGTAAACAAGCTTCACGGTGATACAAATAACTCCATAAGCAGAAAAATTGACGAAGCCCGACTCCATCGTGTCGTGACATACATCGTTCAGGCTTTTTGTACCCCCCCCCCCCCCCCCGGCAATGCCACTGACTGATGTGTCTTTACGCCATTCCCAAAGGGTAGATATTAACATGTTCGTATACACTATTGAATTGTAAATGGGCAGACTTATCAATGCCATGCTCATACTGGGACGAAACAAGATAGGGGTACTGCTGCTTTTTCTTTCACCATCCGTAGTATCGTCATTTTTCCTCTACTTCTTTTGTATGTATGTCATTCTCTTGTGAACTGCTATTTTCGGGGTGCCCGCCTTAATAGTCGAAGCAGACTTTGGGCTGTTTAGCTAGAAAGGTGAGCAGAGAAAGCCTGATTCCCCATTAGCACTTCTCTACTGACATCCATCCCTTACGGCTCATATGATCTTATGCTGTTACTTAACTAAAAAAAGGCCTTCGGTAAAAGTTATCTGATGAAACTGTCACTATATTTCATCTTCTCGGGAACAAAGCATTGCAAGTTTCTAACTGAATGTCGTCGTAGAAGCCAGTGAAACTTCATGATGGCATCGAGCCTCAGATGCAAGGTAAATTGGTAAATTTACCTCTTAACAGGGCATGTCGGGCGGGAATAGAGTATGACAACGAAAAACAAAAATTTTGTCTGACTGCACCCGTTCCACTCATCGAAACAAAAACTTGTCTTTCAAATTACTGGAACAGGCTAACTAGCGCCAATTTGACTACAGTGTGGTCAGTGACATTTGTTTTTACGGATAAATGATAGCGATTAGGAGCCATCAAAGACGGGGGCGACGATATAAGCAAAATTTACCATTGTAGGCAATTCTCTAATGAAATGTTTATCTTGTAGTTAGGGACAATAGGTGTTCAGTAGTCCACCTAATACGCCAAGTCGTCGTCTTCTTGCGTGGGCTGACTACAATAATGTTCACTGCCCTTTGTCGGGGACAGGAAAGTGGTAATTTACAATCAGACGTCGGTAATGAGTTTGCGATGGACAAAAAAAAGGCATTGTGAATGTTGAGAACAAAGAGACAGAGCGCTTTCGACATTCACGTAAATTGAGATGTACGCGTACTTTGGGGTACAAAAGAGAGTCCAAAGTTGAACGCAACTAAACATTTTATTTTATATAATATTTCCTTTCAGCATGTTTGACTGTTACACAAAATATAATATTGGCTCTCCCTCACCAGGGCAATGCCACTGACTGAAGTTGTCTTTAAGCCATTCTCAAAGGGGCGATATTAATTGTTCTTGTGCACAGTAGAATTGTAAATGGGCTGATTCATCAATGTCATGCTTATACTGTGCCGGAACAATATAGAGGAACTGCTGCTTTTTCTTTTTTCTACTTCTTTCATATGTTTGTCACTCTCTAGTGAACTGCTATTTCTGGGGTGCCTTGATAGTCGAAGCAAATTTTGTGCTGTTGAGGCTAGAGAGGTGAGCAGAGTAAACCTGATTCCCCGTTTGGACTTCTCTGTTGACATCCACCTCTTGGCGCTCACATGACCTTTTGCAGTTACGAGCGCCGTAAACCCGAGCTAAAACAATATTTGCTCAGTGTTTTCAGCAGTAAGAATAGTTTTAGAATATATTTTGAAGGCAATTTTCAAAGCTACGAACCGCAATGAAGTGTTGGGCTGTAAGTTACGCGATCGGCCTACAGTTTGAATCATCACTTCATGTCATCACATCAATTTGCACACTGCTAACATAAATGAAATCACACAAAGTCAAAGATTTTAACAGGAATATGAACTAACAACTACTTGGGCAGTTATTTAGATTCTACTAAAGATGTCAAATAGTTTAAATTTGGCACTGCTTATTTTAGACCTGCATAATACTTGCATGTTTTCAGCTGAAAATATATAATCTAATCAAATATTCAGATTGAAATGATAACATTAGAGGAGTTGTCGAAAATAGCCAGACGAAACTGATTAACAACGACAACCATCAGGAAGTCAACATTACACCGAATTTGAATATTTTAACTTTTTAGCATTTTAAAGTAAATTAGTTAGCCAGTCGTGAAGTGAACTTTCGCAGAGGTGAACAACTTGTGTTTCGCGCGCTCATAATATGACCTTAGCAGTTGCGAGCGCCGTAAAACCTTATACTATACAATACAGGAAGTCAACAGGAAGGAGGGCTATCTCGATTGATGGTAATGTTCAATAAACGCCAAAGAAAATAGGTACGTGAAAATTGGCATCTTTAATAGTTAAGAACAGTATATCAAAACACATAATATACTTTGGAGATCAAAGGATTAAATGACAAAACAAACGGTTGGACGTGAGGACTCTGAAAGCCGCGGTCATCTTATGTTATATATATATATATAACTGTCTGTCTGTCTGTCTGTCTGTCTGTCTGTCTGTCTGTCTGTCTGTCTGTCTGTCTGTCTGTCTGTCTGTCTGTCTGTCTGTCTGTTCAAAAACAACATCCATGTTCAGAGTCTCCGGTCTGTCCTTCTCTTACGTTATTTAATCTATTGATCTATCCTCGTATTTCTCCTTTTCTCTCGTACATACATTATCTCCTTTTCTCTCGTATATATATTATATATATATATATATATATATATATATATATATATATATATATATATATATATATATATGTGTATGTATATATACAGAGAGAGTGTTGGAGAGAGAGGGGGGAGAGAGGGAGAGGGAGAGAGAAAGGGGAGAGAGAAAGGGGTGGACGAAAGCAGGAGGGTATAGAAAGGGGACGGCAGGCGTGGGGGGGGGGGGTATCTTCTTTGATTCCGCATCTCAAGAACCAAACATTGGTCATAACATTTTACTCGTTATCAAAATGATAAAACTGAGTAGAAACCTTTCAACGAACGGCCTCTCAACACATTTTTGTTGTGGTTGTTGCTGTTAAATTATTAGGGAAAAAACGTGTTTTTTATGACTATAGACTTCTAGGGACCTTGGGATCTTTCAGGGAGACAGATGCCCTCAGGTCACTACATTTGTAGTACGATTTGGGGTAATGGCATTGGAGAACAAAGACGAAAAAGCTGGAACAAGGCAAACATATTAAATATTGATACACACCTGGGGGAAAGAGAGATCTGGAAATCACTAAAACAGAAATCTGTAATGACAATGTATTCAGTACATGTAACATTGTGTAATATTGCATCGGGGGCGAAAAATGTGAAGCACCTAGAGCTCAGGGAGTGGGCACTACAGAAATCTACAGATTATTATTATTATTATTATTATTATTATTATTATTATTATTATTATTATTATTATTATTATTATTATTATTATTTTTAGTATTAGATAGAACGAACCCTATCCCGTGTTGTAATTGGAATTTTATACTGTTACTACTAAGCTTGTGTGTCTTTTTGACATCCTTAGATCACTTTCGCAGTGTTGAATTCTCCTTGCAAAAATCTGCTCATGAATTTTGCAGACCCCCGATGAGATTTTTTTTAAGGAAACCTGAAGACTAATACATGTAATATTATCTCTATCATACTTTATAAATAGAAAAAAATAATATAATTCCAAAAGAAAAAAGTGCACTGCTAGGATTATCATTCAGGGCATTCTAAAGTATGCAGAAGTATTTCACGTATACATCCTTTGAATGTATTTCCAGAAAGAAGCTTAAAATAGAGATACGATTGAACTAAACTTATCTAGTAAAGCAAGAAATTGAATGCTGTAATGCTTTGAAGACAGTACACAGTCATTTGCTCTGGATACAGCCTTGCCTCATACATCTTTTATCAACAGATGGCCAATGAAAATCTAAATACATCGTCTGTCCACTACAACTGGTGATTTCTTCTGGAAGACTAGAGCTTGGATGACACAACACTGACATGTGGCCACATTAAAATTTACATCTAGGGCTTTCAGATTGTGGGTTACGAACGATTGACGATAGAGCTCTTTCACAGTGAAATGATTGGATTGACACGCCAGATTCATTGTTGGCCAACACAGTAAACTCGTGGCAAAAGATAAATAAAGCTTAAAGGAGAGCGTGAAGATAAATTAAAAATTGATACATATTTAATTCAAGGCATGGAAAGTAGAGGGTCCATGTTGACTTGAAGTGATCCGAGCGTGTCCTTGGGTGTGTGCATATGTGTGTGTGTGTGTGTGTGTGTGTGTGTGTGTGTGTGTGTGTGTGTGTGTGTGTGTGTGTGTGTGAATGTGTGCGTGTGTGAGTGCGCGCGCACGCGTGTGTGTGTGTGTGTGTGTGTGTGTGTGTGTGTGTGTGTGTGTGTGAGTGTGTGAGTGTGTGTATGTAATAGAGGGGAAAAGTTGGGAGAAGGAAAGAAAGATACAATAGAGAGGGGGGGGGGGCTAAGAGTAATTTCCTCGTGTATCTTTTACTTACTTCATATGATCATTTGTTTTGAGGAAAAGAATGTCGGGTTTTTTTTAAAGTAACAAAAATCGTTTTGGCTTTTGAATAATGCTTATGATCTTATTCCACAAGAATATGTACAACAGAACTGAAACAATCATTTACTGATTCAATTAAATAAATATTTGTAGATACGAAAGACCAAAAAGACAAACCAACTGATGATAAATGGTATCACCCATCTTGATTATGCAAGCGCAAATAATGTCGTGGCACAAATATTTGACAAATGAAACAATAATTTATTTATAATTTATACCACATTCGACAACAAGATTGTTATGACTTTTTGTCAAGGAATTTAGAAGGATTCGGATACCATTGGGACGATGCACTACCACATTCCGATTATTATCTGTTGTTGTAATACGGGGAAAACTCAAACTCATATTCCAAGCCTTGTCACAACCAACTTGAAGAGAGATGCACAATTGATTAGTTCGTATTATGACGAGCGGATGTTTATGAGAACAACACAGTCGATACCATGGAAGCCTCACTTGAACACAGCGTCCACTTCGACGTGTAAGTTTTCGTCCTTGCCAACAGCACGGAATACATGGCAAAGGTTTTATTGGCAAAGTATAAATAGGAAACACACTTAAAGAAAAAAAAAAGTTTCAACATGTGTTCTTACTCATACCCAAATGCATTTGTAACAGTATGAGACTGGGTCTGAGCGTCATAATCCGCTGGCTGTCAGAGAAGATACCAATAAAACACTGCTCATTTTAGACCCACACCAGGGCGGAACTGCAATCTACAAACCTCAAACCAGACATAAAAGGATTCTTAAATAGAAACGCCCAATTTGTCAGATATCATCAGCGGATTTTCTGTAGTCAGTGAACATGAAATTTCACAAGAAAATCCCTTGCGACATCTTGCTGTCTTTCAAAACTATTGATTTTTTTCCCCTTTCGGTTCCAATTGAAAAGGTAAAGAAACGAATTTTTCTCTCTACAGTGTCGTCCGTAGGGCCACGTAAAAGGGCGCGTTCACCCCAGAGGAAACGGTGTGTTGACCGCCGCCCTGGTGAGCAAATCCCTCAACTTGACAGTGTCCTTCGCAGAGTTGTCTGAGTAACACGGCCGGCAAGTACAGCGCAGCGCCTTCTTCACGGGGACCCGGATGTGTTGTCCATTCTTGCACGGGAGCTCGGCGATTGACATCATAAACCGCAGAGGTTGACAGCAGCTTGAGGAAGCAGGAGAAAAAAAGAAAAAAAACTGTAGCGATGCGTGATTTTATTTTCAAAACTGCATGTATCCCAATTTCAATGGACTCTATCAGCATAAAATAATATCACAATAATAAATTAGTGTTTTCTTTTGGGTTTGTTGACATACCATTCGTTCAAAAAGAAGTCTTAAAAATCTAGGGGTTCAGTTGGGTTATGATATGTCTATGTCCTCCCAAATAAGCCAGCTCAGCAAAAGTATTTACTTTCAGCTTAAGAAAATTGGCAGTGTAAGAAATTATTTAACTAAAGCAGCAGCCAAGACACTTGTAACAACACTCATTTTATCAAAGTTAGATTACTGTAATGTTATTTTGTCCGGTTTGACATCCCAAAAACTATCAAAGTTACAAGTACTCCAAAATCAAGCAGCAAAATTGATAATGAAACAAAAGAAATCAGCCCACGTAACACCAATTCTGAAAGAACTACACTGGCTGCCAATAAAAGAAAGGATTAAATATAAAACTGCCGTTCTGTTTTAAATGTATAAATGATAGTGCACCTTTTTATCTTAAAACATTCCTGGAATTATATAATCCACCAAGAGCCCTTAGATCAGCCTCTGACAATCTAATTCTTAAAACTCCAAAACAAAATTACAAAACATACGGCGAGCGTTCCTTTTTGTTCTTTGGTCCCCAGGTATGGAACGAACTCCCATGTGTATGCATGTTTTTCGTTAATTTAATTTAAAGCGCTTAGAACAATGATTGTAACGCGGATTTGCGCGATATAAATGTCATTTTATTATTATTGTTATTATTAGTAGTAGTAGTATTATAAGGTAATATAACGGGATGGGGGGGGGGGGGTGCAAATGTAAGAAAAGCGTAAGAAGGGGGGAGGGCAAAATGTCCCAAAAAAGGTGTAAGATTATATTTGAACAGCACCAAAGACTTAATTGCTATCGTGGGCTGAAACAAGCAGTAGGGTTTTCGGACAATATGCCAACTAAAAACCACAGGCCCACTTATTTGTCAAATTACTAAGAAAGACATTATCCAATCGTATTCATCAGGAAAGACATGCAAACAGGCCCATTTGTCTCAACATAGCCTGGTCGGGTATTTTCTTTAGGTTGTGCTTAGAATGACGAATGGAACAATAAACAGATACTGTCGTGAGACAGTTCTCGCCCCCACAAAATGCACTGGTTCGTGTTACAAGAATTTAGTTTACGATACGAATTCAACGACAGGGCTGGATAAGGACAGGTGTTTTATGGCACGACCGCCCACCCTCGTTGTGATAGAAGGCGTGTGTGGGTAGTGTTTTCCTTACCTGCAAGAGTGCAGTATGTTTGTGGCGTTTCGTGGGTCCACGCTGCTGTAGGAGGAGCAGCCTCCACGACAGCCGAAGGTGTGCACGAGAGTTGCGTCACACGTTTCCGCGTAACTCAGTGGCGGCTGAGGAACAAGCGAAAACCTCTGTACACTTTCATAAATAAGACAGTTCTCAAAATGAGATATTGGCTCTGTTGCTCCTATTTCAAAGTACACTACTATATCGTAAATTGTTTGATAAATATTTTATGTTACCTATCAACACAATTTAATGCTATTTTGGAGAAGTGTGTTTCCCGCCTTGCTTTTATCTCAGCATAGCCAGGGTGGTTATTTTATTGAGGTTGTGCTTAGAATGATAAAATGAAAAATAACATAGATATTATAAGACAGTGTTTGCTCCCAATAAAATGTAAAATACATGAATTTTGTATGCCATACGAATTTGACTACAAAGCTTAAAAAAAAAAAAAAAAGGATGGGCCATCCCGGGCTGTGTGGGTTGAACAATCTAGAAACGAGAATGAGATTCTTGGTACCACATAGCTGCACCATGTGAATCCTACTCGCGCCTTTTGCCCGTGGGGCAAAGAGCTCAAACACAACGCCACAGGCGCCTGTGGAATATCCTGTCGATTACCCAAGTTCCATCCCAAATGTGAAAAAAACTAAATTGTTCTCATGATCCGTTACAAAATCATTTTTCTGTGAGAAATCTACCTGTGTAAAGCACGCAGCTCATAAGTAAACATTGATGGAAAATCTTTTTTAAAATCGTTCTCCCCACCCCCACCCCTTTTCATTTCATCAAAATTCTTAGCAGAGCTAGCCTAAAAAGATAACTCTAGAAATATTAATTATGGTATACAAACTACAGATGCGGAGAAGCTAAGAGAACAATCTTTACCTTTTCTGTATTCGTCATCAGATGTTCTATTACCAGAGTATCGCAAGAAAGAAAAAGACTACAATAAACATGGTCGCAACGACTTGCAACCTGCCTTCGACAGAAAACCAATGGAACAATTAATAGACAAATCTATTTTAGTAAAAGCACGAAATATATTTACAGTAATTACAGCGTCACCGACAGTGGCAGGTGTGTGACATCAAAACAAGACACCGCGCTTGTTAGCTCAGTGCCGCATTTGGATCAAACGGTTGGCTCACTGTTTAATCAGTGAGTTGTGGACTACAAAAATGTGAGAAGCACAGCCAAAATATTTTGTCGTGTTGGTGAGATAAACATTTAATTTTCTTATTTTCTTATTGGTCAACTATTTTGTCGTGGTGCGATACTTGGCTTTGTAGACTTAAGTTCGCATTTGGTATATTGTTGGCTTTGGGTTGTTTTGTTTATTTGTTTGTTTGTTGCCGCTGTTCTTATAGTCGAGCAAAAATGTCTTTGTCAAGAGTAATTATGCTCCATCAAAAATGACCACAACGCCTCTTGTTGTTGTCACCTGGTCCTGTCCGACATTTCACATTTGATCTGATCTCA